GCACCTTAGAGAGCACGAGTGTAGGCTCCCTAGCGCGTCAGGCGAAGTCAAGCAAGTCTGCCTGTTCCACGAGTCTGGGGTAGATAATCCCCTTGCCCATTGCTGCCTCAGCGCTCCTGCATTCGACAAACTTTTGCGAAAGGAGCAGCGCGAAGAGCAGGTGTTTGTAGCCTATGCTAGGCCGATTTTTGACCAGCCCAAGGAAGATTAGAAGATCCATCCTACTATCGCCAGTCTGCTGGAAGAGTACAAGGATTTATCTGAAGCACCTTCAGGAGTAGTGCCCAGACCAATCCAACACCGCATAGAGATAAACCATGGCAGTAGAACGCCTAAGGGGGCAGTCTACAGGATGTCTCCCAAGGAGTTAGAGGAGCTTCGCAGACAGTTAGATGAGCTCCTAGAAAAAAGGATGGATCAGGCCTAGTTCATCACCTTTCGACGCACCTGTTCTATTTGTCCCAAAGAAGGAGGGAGAGCTACGCATGTGTATAGACTACAGGGGACTGAACGCCATCACCGCCAAGAATGCAGAGCCATTGCCGCGTATAGATGACTTGTTAGATCGCGTGCAAGGATGCAAGTATTTCTCAAAGATAGATATGAAATCAGGATATCATCAGATAGAAGTGCACCCTGACGATCAGTATAAGACGACGTTCAGGACGAAGTATGGGCATTATGAGTTCATAGTGATGTCGTTTGGACTTACTAAATGTATGAACGACTTGTTTAGACCGTGGTTAGATAGATTCGTCGTAGTTTATTTAGACGATATCTTAGTATTCAGCAAGACCCTCAAGGAACATGAGGGCCATCTGCGGCAGATTCGAAGCAAGCTGAGAGAGTCTAAGTTCAAGATTAACCTGAAGAAGTGCGAGTGGGCCAAGACAGAGGTCCTTTACCTAGGCCATATTGTAGACGGTGATGCTATTCGGCCTGAGGACAACAAGATTGCATCCATTAGAGACTGGCCAACTCATAAAACGTTGACAGAGTCGCGCTCGTTCTTAGGACAGGAAGTTTGTGAGGAACTTCTCCACGATCGCTGCTCCCCTTCGTAGACTTCTGAAGAAAGAGACTATCTAGAAGTGGGACCAGGATTGTACGTAAGCCTTCAAGAAATTAAAGAAATTGAAGAAGGCTTTGATAGAGTAACCTGTCCTCAAAGTTGCTGATCCATCATTACCATTCGTTGTTACTACAGACGCGAGTCAGTATGGCATAGGTGTCGGTCTACAGCAAGATACGGCAACGGTTAAGGGCCGTAGAGTTTATGTCAGCCAGGCTGCCCTCAGAAAAAGTCGCAGCATCGACATATGAAAGAGAACTCTACTCTCTCAGGCAGGCTCTAGAGCACTGGAAACACTACCTGCTTGGGAGGCTTTACTCAGACCACGAGACTCTTAGATGGCTAAAGACACAGGCCAAGATGACGCCCAAGTTGACTAGATGGGCTGCTGAGATAGACCAGTATGACTTTGAGTTGAAACCCGTCAAAGGCAAGTATAATGTGGTAGCCGATGTGCTAAGTAGGAGATCTGATTACTTCGGCGCAATAGTGCACTACCTAGACATAAGGGCCGATCTGCAGCAGAAAGTAAGAGAGGCCTATGCACAGGACCCGATCTACAGTGAGCTGCCGAAAAGAGTAAAGGAAGCCCCAGATGGTGAGCCACACTACCGAATCACGAACGGGCTACTGTTTGAGAAGACTAATGTCGCTGACAGACTGTGTCCCCAATAGTGAAGAGATCCGTAGTCTGATCTTAGGGGAATGCCACGATACGGAAGGGCACTTTGGATGGCAGAAGACTTTAGCTAACCTGATGATGTCATATACATTGCCAGGAATGAAAGCAGATTGCATAGAGTATGTGCGCAGCTGCAAGGTATGTCAACGGAATAAAACTACAACCAGAGCCCCGCTAGGTCTTCTGAGACCCTTGCCTATTCTGTCAGCACCCGGAGATTCAGTTTCCATTGACTTCATGGATGTATTTGTTCCCTTGCCTTCAGAGGCACGTACAGACTTAGTCATTAGTAAGTTTTTCGACTTCTGGGTAAGCGATCATGGTATGCCGCTGTCCATAGTCAGTGATAGGGACACGCGGTTTACTAGTCAGAATTGGCAGGATCTTATGAAAGTATATGGGTCTAAGTTGTTGATGTCGTCAGGCCGACACCCAGAGACTATTGGCCAGACAGAGCAGATGAATAGGATCTTGCAACAGCTACTTAGAATGTATATTAGACCAGATCAGATAAACTGGGATGAGATGCTTCCCAAAGGAGCAAGTGCCTACAATAATAGTGTTCATCTAGCTACCTGCAGGACTCCTAAAGAGCTACATAAGTCCTTTAGACCAACGCGACCGCTTGAGGGACTAAACCGGGACCAGATACACATACTACCACCCGGCACACGAGAGTTTGCGTTACAGCATGAGCAGGAAGTCGCTAAGGTCATAGACAATCTGAGAAAGGTCCAGCATCGGATGATAGAGCAAGCTAACAAGCACCGCCTACCTTCACAGTTTCAGGTAGGCGATCTAGTCTGGGTCAAGTCAAAGGAGTTCGCACCAGAGGAAAACATCTCGCAGAAGCTCTTACCTGCGTATAGAGGACCGTGGCCTGTCCTAGAAGTCAAAGGAGGAGAGGACGGCCCGTGATATACTATAGAGATTCCAGCACACCTCCACACGTACCCAGTCTTCCATGCATCTAAGTTGTTACCCTGCAATCTGACAGATTCCCTTCTAGGAGATCGACGATTCCGCCAGACATGGATGGTGCATATGATATAGATCACATAGTGGAAGAGGACGTGTTTAGGACAGGAGGTCGAGGTCGTCCCCAGGAGCAGTATAAAGTTCGGTTCGCATACCAGGAACCCAAGGATGACCGATGGTTCACAAGAACAGAGCTTTTGGAAACCACTCCCGACATAGTACACGCGAATGAGAGGGAAAGAAAGGGCAAAGATCCTGCCTTGAGTTAGGGTGTTCTCGGAGGACCTCAAATTTAGGACGTCGGGAGTGAAACGGTTTCACCCAGTTGACCTGACATTGCAGTCACAGAGATTCAATCCCTCGACCTGTGCCACAACCCTGTACATTGATCCCGTGTGCTGAGTGAGATTCGATCCCTAGACCTACCCTATACCTGTACATAGACCCTGTGTGCTGAGTAGGATTCGATCCCTAGACCTGTTCAACATCCCAGATTAGTCTGTAGTTTGGGCAGTAGGACTTGATCCCTAGCTCTGTAGATTAGCAGCTAGGTCTGTTACCGATAGGCTTAGGAAGTCTGTTCTAGAAGTCTCTGCGAAGTCTGTTGAGGACTGGGATCTGTCTGTAGGTCTGTATAGTCTAGAAGGTCGTAGGACAGTCCAGCCAGCGGGTACCAAGGGTAAGGGCTGCACGTGGGGAAGGTTCTGGAGCACGCTGTGGGTTTCACACGTTTTGGCCCAGAAGGCCAAACGTCTGGAAACTTCCCTGGGCCACACGTTTTGGCCCAGGCCCACACGTTTTGAGGCAGGCCCGGGTACCTCCAAAGAGGTATAAATAAAGAGGCAGCGTCCAGCCATTCATTCATTCGCCTGTGAGCCATGCGGGAGAGATGCCTTGGTATCTTGTGCGTGGAGGTCTGCAGGTGCCCGGAGAAGAAGTGGGCTGTGAAGAAGACAGCGGCCATAGCGAGCCAGCGAGGGAGACACCGACGGCCATAKCTCGGAGGAGGAAGACGACGGCGGCCATAGCCGCCCAGCTGTTGGTGTAGACAGTGTACAGAGTGTGAGTGGCTGTGCAGCGTGGACATTCAGGGTGATCCTCGTACGTGTGTGCATGCGAGAGTGTGGGAAGTGAGGCTGGTGGTAGAGACGGTGTTCGGCGGCCATAGCCGCAAGTTGTACAGCTGGTTCAGATTGAGTTTAATACAAGTTTATTGTTGTGTCTGAGTTGGAAGAGTTTGATTTTGGCATCGGTTCTCAAGTGTGCATGTTGAAAGCAAGTCCAGAGTCGAGTCTGATTGCACGATTGTCGTCGTTGGATTAGACCAAGGGTAGCCTCGTTGAATAGACTCACGGAGTTCATTCTCCCATAGAAAATATGGAGGGAACACAGAGAGTTGCTATTATTGTTAACAGCTTGCATTGTGCAACGAGCCCAGTTTTCCTTTGCTGTTATTGTTAACAGCCTCTGTTTTCCTGAGGGTCTATGAAAATCATAAGAATCCGTTACTAACTATTTGATGGAACAAGGTCAGAAGTAAATGGGTGTGTGAAGAGCATGAGGGCCCTGTGGTTCCATGTCATTGAATATCTGGTATCCCTGTGTCCAGGAGGGTAGGGGAATGAACAGCTTTGGTTATTTCATGTTTAGGGTTGGGCCTTCGGGGGGACTAGCATGCTCTTTGATGTGCTGGTGCTGGAAAGGTTGGAGAGAAGAGTCCTTGCTGAGAGAAACCACCATACCCAGGATTGATGTTAAGTGGTGATTAAGGGTCAAGACTCCGGAGCAGAATGGAGAAGGGTCTCGAGAACATTCCATGTATTGTTATTACTCATTTTTAAGAGTTCTTTGAAGGTGTGGTTGTGTGATTGCATCAGTCACCGTTTCTCATTTTCTATGAGCATGTTCTCACTTTTGTCGGTCCTGCAAGGTTGTTTTGGAGGTTTTGTCTTGGTCATAGCCAGGACTGATGTTCAGTGCTGATCAAGGGAGATGATGCTGGAGGTGAATTGGAAAGAGAGGGGAGGACATTTAGGGTCTCGTGTTGGTGCTCGTTTTCAGGAGTTACTTGTGTTTGGTTCGTTCGCTTTGCTATTTGGGTGATGTCATTTGCTGGTTCCATTTTTTATTGGTCTTATTTAAGCCTTGAATACCAATTCCTTGAAGTTGAATGAACTTCTGTTGAACTACCAGAGCAGCGCTTTTGTCATTGCATTTGTGACAAACCATGTTTGATGAGCATGTCCTCCCTGTCTGCTATTCCTGTAGGAGAGCGTTTTGGAGCTTTTGTCTCAGTTGTACAAGCGAACTCTGGCAGACGCATATCGTGCTGGGCCTGTTCCTGTTCGCAGGTGAGGATGTGGGTTCCTGATATCTGGCTTGTTTCAGGATGTCACATAAAAAAAGCACCATTGCATGTCTTCCTCCGTGCTTCAATCATCCAGAGATCAGTAGGGAAAACAGGTTTTATTAACTTTTATGTTCGACCACAGTCATAGTCAGTTGCCACCTGTTTTGAGTGCGCTCTGATCTGAGGTGCAGGCACCACTGGGCTATGTGCAGGTCTACGTTTTGAAATCCTATGCCTGGCATTCACAGTCAAATAGCCATGAGATATTTTCCTGCGATGACCTAGACATCATCCAGTAGGGCCTGACTGTGCTCTGCACTGAGGGGTAGGCGCCACTGTGCTATGTCCAGCTCTACGTTTGGAAATCCTACGCCTGGCATGCCCAGTAAAATATTGCAACATGCAATGAGCTTTGAAATCAAATATGAACCGAAAAATCTCACAAGTCGCAACATGCAATGAGCTTTGAAATCTTCCTGCGAAGGCTCAACACTGTCCATTGAGGCTTCACTGCGAGTTGCGTATGTGGAGTAAGTTTTGAGTGAAGAAATGCATCTATATTAGTGATGGGTAACATTATTTGGCCGAACAGGCTGTAGGGGTAGCAGGTAGGCAGAAGGTCAGAGTACCAGTGGACTGCTTACCACTAAAGCAACAACAATTCCCAAATTAGTAAATTAGCAAGTTGGGTATCAACTTGGTGTTCGTCGCTGTGGACTGTGACCACCAGGATCATGTGCTCATCTTCATTCTCCACCAGATGGTTCTGCTAAACGATATGCTTGGGATCATGTGTTCATCAGCTGCAGAAGCCGCCAACAGATCTAACCCGCACATATGTGGACATTGGATGTCCTGAGATAATTGCACGTGTTTGGTTTACAACTTTACATGTACTTTTTGTCAGCTGATACCCCTGTTGACAGCCGAAACAAAGACAATTCAAAGTGATAGTTCCGTCTGTGGACAAAAATGTTCAGCAGGCCTTATGAAGTTTTCCAGGACAGAGAAAGCCGACCCTTCAAATTTTTAGCAAACTCTCTGGTTCAAAACAAGCTCGGATGGCTCACAAGGCCCTATCCGCACCATTGAACCTGCAGAGTGCCGCCTTTCACTCAGGCAGTATGGCACATGTGGTGCACCAGCCCGAAATTAAAGACTGGATTGTCGCGAGTTCTCTCCCTCTTTCATGTCACGGCAGTTGTTGTTTTGAGAATGCTCAGTTAGGTCTTCCATGCGCTCATCCACCCCATCCTTACAATGTGTGTCCTTTCTGTCGTCAAGGACAGCCTCATTCTTGAGCTTTTCCCTGTGTTTAACACCTTCCCCTTCACTCTGCCTCTCTCACAGCATGCAAGTGGGCTGTTATGGCATACGGGGATGGGGGCAGCTCACGCTCAACTTCATCAACGTGGCGAGCCTTGCACGTGAGAGGCACAGTGGAGGTGGAGTTCAAAGAAGAATGAGAAATTTAATGGTTTCAATCTGCCCTTGTTTTTTCTTTTTGTTTTTATTTTTGCATGTTATCACTGTGCCCGTTTTTTGCTATTATTCTTTGTTCCGCAAAGTGCGCTCTTTTAGTTTGTAGTGATGTGACAATATATAACTATCCCTAAGTTCCTGCGTGTGACAAGCGGACGATCGGGGCCCTCCGATTTTTTGCTGCACAACGGTCCCGATAGTCTGCTGATGTTTTTTCTTAGAAGTTGAAGCGTCGCCAGGGTCAGTACCGGTCCCGCATGCCAGTGCCGACACCATGCTTGGTACCGGGCCTGCGCACCGGAGCTGGTACCACACAAGGTACTGGGCCCTGCGCTAGCAACGGTACTGTTGGACATTGCCGGGCCAGCGCCAAGCGGCCACACGTAACAAACGTTTTCCGACTTTGGGAGGAGGTGCAGGAAAAACTGCGTGGCCCCACACCACAGCTGCCCTCCAATTTTTTTGACTTTTCATACCCTAGGCTACAGCGCTCGACTCCGACTGACTTCTACGCTGCTATGCTTGACTAGGACTTCGCTCTACGTTGGACACACGAGCATGCTCACACGCACACCAACACGCGCACACACGCACACCCACACACTCAAGCACGCACGCACACACGCACGCATGCACACACACACACACATGCACGCACGCACACACACACACACACGCGCGCGCGCAACGTGGTGAGTCCTTGACCATCAGTACAGTTCGTCTTGAGCGGACTGTCGGGGTTCAACCTCCTGATGAGTCGGTGGAAGTCCAACGAAACAGTCTGGCTGAGTCATTTTATGAGTTCTGTATAGCGAAAATAACAACACACACACATACTCAGACTCACCCACACAGAACAAACACACCCACACACCCACACACACACACACACACACACACACACACACACACACACACACAGGACACACCGTGTCGGCATCCTGAATGTTGGACCCTGAGGCTTGAGCTGTGCAGCCTCAAGGCTTTCGAACGACCGCACCTTGATGGCTGACAGTGAGTTTGTTATTCGTGTCTGTTGCGTTCATTTTTGGTGGGCTTGGAACTATGAGAGAGAGAGAGTGCGTATGTGTCCTTGTGTGTGTGTGTGTATGTGTGTGTGTGTGTGTGTGTGTGTGTGTGTGATAGAGAGAGAGAGAGGAAGAGAGAGAGAGAGAGACCGACAGACAGAGAGAGAGAAGGAAGTACCTGTTGAGAGAGAAGAGAGAGAGAGAGAGAGAGAGAGAGAGAGAGAGAGAGAGAGAGAGAGAGAGAGAGAGTCCATCAACTTCTTGGCAAACGTTCCCATTTTTATTGCGGGCGTAGCCGCAACAGGTCCCCTAGTAATCTATTAATCTAGCTTTTCCTCTCTCTCTTTCTCCCTCTGCCCTGTCTCTTGCTTTCTCTCTCCCTTTCTTTTCCTCTCTCTCACGCGCTCTGCATTGTCATGCAACAAATCACCCTCATCTCTCTCTCTCTCTCTCTCTCTCTCTCTCTCTCTCTCTCTCTCTCTCTCTCTCTCTCTCTCTCTCTCTCTCTCTCTCTCTCTCT